GCAAGGCAGGCGGCGGAACCACTGAGCTAAATCCCGGGCCCAGTCCCTGCTTTCTGTACGCACTTGACTCCTCAGAAACTAGTTTTCTTCCGTCTTTTGTCCTTCTGAATAACAAATTAGTTTATTTACATTTCATTTAGTGAATGTGTGTGAGGCAGGAGGTGTGGGGTTGAGCCCAGCCTGAGTGGTCTGGGCAACTTAGCAACTTGGTGAAACTCTGTTTCAAAAAAAAAAAAAAAAAAATTAAAGGGTGGAGGAATGTAGCTCAATGCAAAAGCCCTGAGTTAATCCCCAGTACCATTCCCCCCGACCCCCCAAAAAACCTGTAGGGCAAATTACTGAACATTCCTTGGTTATTACACTACCCTTACAGCTTAGCGTGGTGTCACATACATGGCAGATGCTAAAATATTTTAAATGATACCAGTTATGACCCAATTTGTTTTTAGCCTTAACCTCTTCTGAACTGTAATTGAGTATTTATAACACTTACTCAGTGTCCCTCCCATCCTTCTGTTATTGACATTTCCAAACTGAAAACTACTACATCCTTCACTATGTACATCAATCCGTTTTTAGATTCTATCAGTTAGCCTTCCTAATAGTTTTTGAAAGTTATTCCTTAACTCCATTTTTTAACAGCCACCTTATTTTAAGGTTCCTATCACTCAGTATGTTTACAAAGACTTCTCATTTATCTGAGTTATATGAATTTCAACAGTCTAAAAACTAAGCTTGTTACTATTTTTAAAGCATTGTAAATATTTTCTACTCTTACAGGACTTTTTAAAAATGGAACTAGATTATTTTTCTTACATTTTTGCTAAGTAAACTATTAATGTAAGTATGTATGTTTCCATTCATTTAGGGACATTGTCCTTTTTATTTAAGAAATAGAAGTTATTGAATCAACTATGTATAAGTAAAATTGTATAGAAACAATATAAAAAGGAATATCTTTTTTGCTCATAGCAAAAGACGCCAACTTTTCCATAAAAAATTATTAAGTGGCAGCTATGCCCTATGGGAGCTTACTAACCAGTCACCCAAAACAGTCCTTGTGTTGTGGAGGAGGTGAGCACTGTCTAAAGTACATTTCATTGCTAAATGTATGCACATTGAGGCGATACTCTTAAGTGAAATAAACAGGACACACGTGTAAATACCAAATAGTCTCTCTAGTGTGAGAAAATGAAAGTGTAAATAAGGACTAAAAGGTATAATAGATAATGTGAAATAGGAAGAAAAGGGGCAAAGGGGAGGGGGAAGTGGGAGGGGTAGGGGAAAGGAAAGAGGGGAATGGAATTAATGTGAGAAAATGAAAAAATGGAAACAAAGTCTTTGTAAATAGGTAGGGATGGAGGGGTTGAAGGGAGGGCAGGGGAAGGGGGAAAAATAAGAACCAAGAGAGTATGTAAAGGTGCATATCTCCAATGATGAATGTCATTATGTTGTATACCTAAAATGTACTAATAAAAGGATATACAAAAATAAAATAAAATAAATAAAGTACATTTCAGTCCTACAAGTGGCCAGGATGGAATAAAAAGGACTAGATTTACCTTTCTTCCTCACACAGTGAGAAAAACAGACAAGATATGTGAAACAATGGTTTCTAGACATCGAGCACTAGCTAGTCATGACAGTGATCCCTGAGAAAAGGGGACAGATAGGGTAAGCTATGCAATTGCTCCAACTTACTGCCTAGAAAGTATTTCCAGACTTAATGCAGGGAGGGAGAGCCTGATGGTCTGCGTGAGTCGAGATGGAATGGGAGTCTGAGCAGACCAAGTTGTAGGACCTGTCCATTGGCAATAAAAAGTGTTAAAACCCTTAGTAGCCAAACTCCCACTAAAGCCAAGAACTCTGGCTAAAGACCTCCCACTCTCTGAAGGTAGTCATAAGACAGCACCAAACCTTTGATGGCAGACCCATTCCTTCCTCACAGAGCCTCAACCCATCTTTTCTAAAGGATATGTATAGGCTTCCTTATCTAAAGCTAAAAGCCTTTTGTGGGCTGGAGGAGAGTGGCTTTGTCTGAGTTGCCACTCAGCAATTTTAGACTTCATGCAGGTTCTCCCAGAAGATCTGCTCGGGGATAAATGACCCAGAAAGGCTTTCTTTAGATAATCATATTTGCTGCCCAGACATTTTTCCATATCTTCAAACCCCATAAAAACCCAGGTGCCTCACGCTAACTCCAATTCTTATATTAGAAACCCACCAGCTCCCCTGTAGGCAGCGTATCCTGCTGCCTAAATAAACTCTTGTCTTTTTATATTTCTTGTCTATTGTTAAGGTATTTTTACCAGCCCACCTCTGGCCATCAAGTACCCTCTCAGATGGCACAAGGTGGTGAGAAGTGACTAAGACATGGAACCAGGTTAAGGACACCTTCCAAGACTCCCCTGTCTTCAGTTGGGACTGATTAACACATGTATGAGGAAACTACTGGAGGCGGATAAAGACCCAACACACAAGAGTTAGAGGTTATAATCTTAGGAATTCAGAGTCCATAACAGTTTCTGTTGTTGCCAGCCAGATTGGAAGACCCTCATAACTCTTGGAATATTACAGTGTACTCAGAAGGGGAATGCCTCAGTAGGTGGGCAACAAAGTCCTGCCCTAAAGGCAGTTCTGGTCCTGCCTAAGACACCTTTGAAAGCAAATTTAGTGTATGCCTGATAGAAGTCACTGCAGGAGGGAATGTTGGGAGAGGAAGTAGGAAAAAAAATCATTTAATAATAATAACGTTTTCCAAATTTAGTGAAAACTATTCAGATTCGGGAAGCTTAGAAAGCCCTTAACATCAAAACAAAAACAAAAATACATGAAGAAAATTTTTCCAAGGTACTTCATAATCAAATTGCTTAAATTCAAGGATAAGGAAAAAAATATTAAAACATCTGGAGTAAAGAAACACAGGTACAAAGGAACAAAAGGATAAATGGCAGATTTCTAGTCAGGAAACAGTGCAAGCCAGAAGACAGTGGGGCAACATCTTTTAAATACTATTTTCTTCTAAAGGAAAAAAAATGAAATTTTAATTTCACTAATCCAGCAAAAGGCATGTTTCTAAACTGCAGGTAAAATAAGAATCCTGAAAATAGCTTGATGATCCTGGAGGTAACATTTGCAGTAACATATGACCTGTATCTGAAAGCAGAAATTTGGTTAGGTCTGTTGCTTAATGATTCAGAAATGTTAATTGTCTATTTTTATGTGTCATTTTACATTTTAAAAGTGGTTATGGGAGAAATCTTTATTTTCATAAGTTATTGAGATACCTGGGTTGCTATTCTGTTTGTAAAGAAGCTTAAACACACAGATAATATGACTTTCATGGGGTTTCATAGGATCTGGGAATGTAATCAGCTTTCTTGACTTCAGGTAAAGACTTCTAATCTACCTAATCTCTTCAATAAAGCTGTGTATTGCTCAAAATATTTTCTGAACTTAGTGTCAGAGTATATAAAATACGTGGAGGACTTTGAAAGTAATAATAGACAGTACAATATGTAGTAATTCTTTTGTCTCTTGACATATGGAATAGACAAAGAAAAAAAAAATTACAACTCTTAATTAAATCCCAAGACCCCAAATAGAAGACAGTAAAAATGAGAGTACATTATATTAGAGCCTGTATCCAAAACTGTTACAATACTTAAGCTTTAAATGAGCAGACATAGGGGCTGGGGATTTAGCTCAGTGGTTTCACTGGCCGCTGCGCAAATGCAAGGACCCGAGTTCGATCCCAGGTACCAAAAATAAATAAATAAATAAATGAGCAGAAGTAGAAAATTGCTATGATTGCAGAGATGTTTTCAATTAAAATGAAGTTATTTCTGATTTTTTAAAAAGATAAGAAGTTTGATTATTTTAATTACTCTATCAAATTTTCACAGAAGACCTTTTAATAACTTAGTTCAAGCTAAAAGATGGCAGAAATTAGTTGAGAAGAAACTGTAATTTCCTCTTGTATTTAATCTGTATATGTGGTACATAAAACAGAAGATTAAATATTATCTTTAGATTTTTCATTGCATTACTAGGCATCCTTAAGAATGAATAAAGTACTTTATCCTTTTGGTTTCCATTACACTTTTTTTCAAGTTCTTAAGGGTTGTTTTTCAGTCTTCCCTATTAAAGAATTTTTGAGAGCTAGATCTTTAGATAAGGTTGTATAGTAGAATTGGTATTTGAATGTTAGAACTTGAAAGGACAGGACTTAAATAGATAAAGATGAATGTTTCCAGTAATAGGGGATATAATCCCTGACATGATTACTCAGAAGAGTAAGAATGGTTCATATGGGAGAGAAAAAGAAGTAAGGTAGAGTAGGTAGGGCTTGATTACTGAAGGCGTTAAAAAAACAAGGGAAATAGACAGTATCTTGGTCAATTTTGTGTTACTCTAACAAATTTCCTGATTCTGGGAAATATGTAAAGAAATGAGGCATATTTGACTCACAATTTTTGTGGCTGGAAGGTCTAAGCATTTGGCAAGGGCCCAATGGCTACTTCACAAAATAGATAGCAGCACATAGCAGGAGTGTCAGGTGCGGTCGGGGCGGGGGGAGAAAAAAATGGAGAACCACATACAGAGAGATAGCAAGAAAACAAGCTCTATGACAGCTCTCTCTGGTGATAACTAGGCCAGTCCCTCAAGAGACCAAGTCCCTCACTCCTGAGAGAAAAGTATCAACCTGTCTCAAAGGCCCTCTGTACACTGTTACACTGTTTATTTGGGGCCAGAGCCTCCACGGGTTTTGGTGGGGACAAACCAAATTCAAACCATAGAAGATGGACTAAAGGCAAATTTTTCTTCCAGGGAGAATGAATTGTCTCTCATCTAGATATGAAATGTGAATTTTTAGCATTTCAGCCCTGTATTTTTTATGTTAACTTTCTTGTGTTTAAATCTGAATGAATACAGATTAAATAGCAAAACAAGTATTATTTCACCTCAAGAGGAATGTGGGGTTTTTTTCTCTTTTCCAGTCCACTCCTTTACATCTAGCAGCAGGCTATAACAGGGTTCGGATAGTTCAACTGCTTCTTCAGCACGGTGCAGATGTTCATGCAAAAGACAAAGGGTAAGTTGTCACTTTATTTCCTTATAATGATTTTGCTTATGGATTTGTTTTCATCATCTCCTAACCCCAAAGTTTGAGTTTAAGAAAGTCACATCTCATTCATTAAGAATCTTCACTTTGATTTCAGGCTTTATTTTCATGTACTTACTTATTACAGTTATTTTTTTCATAATTACCTAAATCAGTTTAATTTAATTCAATTACTTGACCTAAAATGTATCTCTCTATTCCAATCATTATTTTTCAGCCTTTAAGTTGTACTTCAGAAAGATAAGACAAGTTGAAATTTCTGATATTCGGGTAGCATAGCTCTCATAGTCATTTGTTATTAAAGGATCAACTCATTAATAAATCCAAATCATAAATATGTAGTATTTTAATTAGGTGGGGGGTTTTTTTCCTGATGAAATCTTGGACATTTAAACTGAGAAAACCTAGAAGGTCCTCGTGCATATCAATGCATGAGGGAAATGGGTGATAGCTAAAAGTCAGTTATGTCATTTATTTTATGAATTGATAAATTTTGAAAAACTTTGTACCAATTTCCTACATAGTCTCCAGGGATACATGAACATTGAGTTTGCTCTCTTATATGAAGGGCTAACATTTCTCACTGTCTCACCTTAAGATCTAAAAGATAACTGACCCTACCCAGGTAAGGTAGATTACATTATTATATTTTCATAATTGACAGAGTACAGAAGATGTGCCCTGGAGTAGGGTTTCTTTCACTGTGACCACTCCCCCTTCATGTCAGGAAGCATGAAAGAAGGACTCAGTACTTGAGATAACCATGAAAATGGGAGTACATTTCACATCTACTCTTTTCGGTGCTATTTCTGTCTTGCCAGCACCAGGTTTTGTGCCATCTGTGAATGGTATCCCAAATAGGGACATAAATGCCTGATGCTTTTATACATCTCTATTTCTTACTCATGCCTGAAAACAGATGGGTGTACAATACATTGGACCCTTGACTTACGAACTCAGTTTGTTCACAAGGTCTGGTTGTAACTCAGGTCGGTCAGCTGAAGGCTCAGGCTCCTCTACACAGCCTTCAAAGTCTCTCTCCTGTATACAGGCAGATCTCGGTGTCTTTAGAGAAACATTGGCCCAGGATTTCTCAATTAACCCCACACAGGAAAGGATGTTGTAATAATGTTCCTTCCAGAACTCTTTAAGGGTTAAATCTTAAATCTGTATCTGAGACCATCTGAAAGCACAAGCGGCCAGCATTTGAGTCATAACTCAAGACTGTAAGTTAAAATTAAAGTTCTGGTCATAACCCAAGTTGTTCATATGTCAGGTCAGTTATAACTCGAGGGTCCACTGTAGGTGAGTCATCAAGAGAAGTAACCATGAAAGGGGAAGGCTTGACTCATTTAGAATACTTTGATATGCAAGTTATAGTTTGGATTCTTATGCTGGAAATTACTATGTAATTCAGCTAAAATGGTGGGAATTATTCCAGTTCACTACCAATTAATGTTTTGTATAAATAATTGATATATAAACCATGTAATTATCAATTAGCATATGATCTTTTTACCTAACTTCTTGTAATTGGTATTTTTAACATTAATTATATACAAAAACACAAGATAAATACAAAAGTTGTGAATG